GGGGGGGGGGTCTACTTTGCCAGAAATAAGTCAGACCCTTCAGGGTGGGAGTTGAACTCTGCCAGGGCTACCTGTTGTCAGTAGCTCTGTTCAGAACTTTTATAGAAAGACTTTCTCAGTAAATTTAAACTTGTTTCACCACACCAACAAGAGGGGTTTGCTTTGAAGCTGGAATAAGCTGATAATTCAACAGTCTGGTCARAATTAATCTTCATTTTACAAACTAAAGTTGTTTAAAGAGCTGTCTGCAACTCTTAAATCTAGTATCTCATTGGGCTGCAACTATYGGCAACAAACTGCAAATGAGTTTTCAATAGGCGTAAAATTGTTCACAGGCTTTTCTCAATTTCATAGTTTGTGTCACAGAGTTTTGCTCTCGTGTCACAAAAATTTAGACATTTTGATATTGGAAAAAWTTTCAAGATAAAATTTCTGTGGCCTCAGCAAGAAGGTCCTGGATTCAAGACTCTGTTGCGTCTTGGGTATTTATGTGGAGTTTTTATGTCCTTGTGTTTGGGTGGGTACTCCGGTTTCTTTCAAAAGTCCAAAAACATGCATGTTAAAGCTGCCTTCAGGCTCTTGGGGAAAAAAGATCTTTGATGTTGATGAGATTTGCCAGTTTAAATAAATGTTAATAATAAAGAAAAGTCACTGCAGGTGTTCTGAACATTTATAAATTTAGTATTCTTTAGAGCACTTCCTGTTTATTTTCTGAAATGCCATCAGTTTATTTTTCTGTTACAGTAAAAACATTTGAATGCATTTGTAAACTTCCAAAATAAAATGCACAACAAAGTCTTTGTGAAAAAACACTTTGTCGCTTTTATTTTTTGCTAGAATATAGGTTTTACTTTGACTTAATTAAAATACTTTAAAGTTCACTTAAGTGGCAAAGTCCCTGTCACACTAACATTTCAGACAACTTGTGAAAAAATATTTATGACAAAAAAACTCATTTGTTATACATTTGATCTAATTGTTAGGAAAGCAGTCTGTATGCATCCAAAAGAGGCTTCCAGTTGATTTTTTAATTCCATCTTCAGTGTAGAYGGCTTCAAAGTCAGACAAAATGATCACAAGCTGTCTAATAAGTCATAGTGTGACAGGGCCTTAAGGACTGGATACATTTAAAATAAAACATGCCATGCTGCAGTACCAATCAGGTGCAATTCTATTTTTTTATTTGCATATTTTCTCAAATGTTTGAGTCTAACTTGTCCCCAACAGTCACAGCCCATACTGACTGATCATACCTCTTCCACAGAACTTATGCTCCATATAGGTGGATGAGCAGCGTGTTAACACAACTTTATCCAATTCTTTTTTTCTCCTTTGTGAAAGTCATGAGATGTAAACAAAGGACCCCCAATGCCCTTGATGAAGGTTGTGTGTCATGTCTACAWGTCACCGACTGTCACTTCAGCCAACTGTCATCCTCTGCTGCTCCACACCCCGCAGCTTGACTACATGCCATCAACTTTCAGCTTCCTTGCACCTTGTTAGTCATTTTAAAGCCCACCTCTACCCCAAGGGTGTGGTGGCTGTCAGACATCATTGCGATCAGTTAATCTGAGCCTCTAGCTTGTGGTCTTTACTGGAATATATCAATGGGCYGCATGCTTTATGGTCATGTGTTTCATTTACTTTATAGTTTGTGTTATCTGATAAAACACTTGATGAGCACAAGTGAGCTTTCCGAGCCCCAACTTTAACCCTTTCACTGAGATAAAGAAGAAAGAGTGAAAAAAAAAAAAACCCACAGGCAGTTGAAACAACCCACAAGCAACAGTGGGTCACTTTCTGTTCTGTCCCTCCTCCCATTCCCCAAGGGTCATCTGATACTCATCCATTTGTCAACATCTCTCCCCCTCCACCACCATCCCTCAACCCCCAAATATTGGGTCAATGCATGGCTAATGGAGGCTGACCTGTAAGAGAGACAGAGGGAATGTTATGAGCAGAATACGTTTGTATTTATGACCCACTGGGGAACACGTACAGTACACTCTTGTTCTGATACAACCGTTTACTGTACTTTCAACCATGCAGGCAGTCCCAGCTCACAGCTGCAAACCAGAGATGTTTAGATACATTATTCTGCAATAGAGAGTGCCAAAAATAAGTGCTGGTCAAAATCATGTTTTCACTTGTTTGATGACATGCATTTGCAAACATTTACGATCATATTCAAAATTTTGTGTCGACAGTTCAGGTGTGTAAATATGTAAACTGAGGCTGTTTTCGATACATAGAAAGAAACACACAGAGACACTTGAAGTACCGCAGCAGTGAAATCAAACCTGCAGCAGAAATTTGTGAATCCCTTCTGCTAGTTTTTACATCTGCGCTCTCTCTCTTCTCTGTTCCAAAATACAGTCGACAAATGGCTGCCATGCAGTCCAAATCCTCATATCAGCACACCTGTGTTCACTCATGGGTGGTGGAGAGGAGCACAGCAGTCTCCTTCCCATGTTACATGTTTGTATGTGTGTGTGTGTATGAGACTGAAAGACAGGCTGCCTCTCTTATCACAACCTGCCCCACAGAATGACACCATGACTGATAACTCTTCCTCTAGTTCTTTTTCTCCCGTCTCCGTCAATCACTCTTCTTCTACCTCCTTTATTCTCTCAGTGACCCTCACTTGACCCCACAAAAGTCAGCAGTTCTTCGAGTCAGCTGGCTTAAGGTTCGCAACTGYGTGAAATTCTGGCAGTATGTGGTGTGATCCCGGACGAGCCCCCCCGAGTTAATTTGCAGTCTCTGTTACTCATTGGAACAGCACATGAGCTAATAATATCCATCATAAATTGGGAATCAAACACACAAGCACACTCAAACAGCACTGTAGCAAAAACCTTGAAAATAAGGCCCAGCGTACACAACGCCATTTTTGAGTGAAATGGTAGCATCTCTRCTGCTGTTCAGTTGTTCTGCTACAACACTATAGCGCTCATATCCTCTGAAACCAAAGGTTTTTAAATCCAGGTCTCAGAAAAGAGGCCTAAGGACCCCCCCCCCCCCCCCCCCCCCCCCACACACACAGAGGTGTGAAATCTTGTGTGTGCACTATGGACAGCTGCAGACAATAGTTTTGCTGTGCT